AAAATCTATGTTCGCTCCACATCCTAATACAAGATGCCTATTCCATTTCATCTTGTACCAACAAACTGTATTGCCCATGGGCCAATGGCCGAGATATGGAGCATGAGAAGGACGAGCCGTTTTGGGTGTTCCCACCATTGAAGCGACACCTGGATTTGGATTTGCTGGAAGGGGGAGTCCAATAGTTGGAAGAACAATGATCATAAACTCTGTGTTTGGGCAGTGGGGTTGAATGCACATGATTTTATTTATGCCATTATCACGATCACCATGTTTGTCATAGGCCACCTATAAATATTTGATTAGCCTATTGTTAAAAAATAGTTGCATAGTTTGGAAAATAAGGAAATAAGATCTTTACCTCAATCCATAACAATGGTGGTGGACATGGATTAATAATAGGAGTAAGTCTTTGATTAATTGTTGGTTTAGGGTTCCAACCACCCACATCAGGTCGATACTGATTACCGTTAACTACACATATTACATCAATCTCAGTCCACCAAGTTGGAAGTTGGTGGTTAAGTGAATTTGCCAACTTTCTGTGTGTTTCTGTTTTTATTCCGCCATTAAACTGAATAGTAACAAAAGAATTAGAAAATGCATGTAAAATAATTATAAAACAAAATGGTAAACCCACTTTTATGAATAATTTATTGTCAATAATTTCAACGTTAAAAATATCATGGATCGCTTCAAAAATTTTATCACGTTTTTTGCCCTTGGCCTTTATTTCTGGTAATTCAAGTTCTATAATATCCACATCATGTACTTCGCATAGTTCTGCATTAACTTCATTTTCGATTTGACTGATCACCTAGGAGAAACGGACTGTTGGCTTATTTCAAAATACATGTTTCAAAAAAATGGAATACATTACTATACCTTGGATTCTGCATTATCTTGAATCAAGTCAACAAACTTTTTAAAGGCTCTTTGTACTCCTTGTACTGTATGTTATAAGAATGCGCAAAAAATTCCTTTTATAAGACTTTGGGATAAATATTTATTTTAATCAATAATAATAAAATAGTACCTTTACTAATTAAACGACCACAAACTCCACTGATCCCAAAACTACTCTCTACTCCTAAAAATGTGGTTGCCATTGCACTACAAAAAATTAAATTGTAAGCAGAATTTTATTGTACTAGTAATAAATTTGACTAGTAAGTAGAGTTTATTATTACATCATCAGTTTTATTTTTGTACACATCTGATATCGGGTATGATGTGCTATTTAAACATGATTTTTACCTAAAGTCTTAAAAGTCTCCTCAGTAACTTGTTTCTTTCTTGCTTCATTAGCTTCCCGAAGATTAGGCAATTGATTAAACCTAGCTACAGTATCAGGACTTGGTTGGGTATAAATCATAATTAATTTGAAAGTCTGTATTATCAATTTGATGATGTTTATGGTAAAAATTTGCTAAAAAAAGCTTGTGATAAAGAGTATAAAAATAAATGTTGATAGATAATATGTGGTGTTACACTATCAAGTATAGTGTACTTATAGCTGTTTTTGATTGGTTAGAGATTATACTATTTAGCGTAATGTGTCGTCTCCACAGATGAAGCCGGAATGATATATACATCAATACACAGATGATCCAAAAAAGCATCCAAGATAATTGATAAGCATTTGCGGGTTGGTAAAATCAAAAACCACGAATTCTCATGGCAGTAGACGATCCTTTAAGTGTATGACTTGGTTGGGACACCCCATTGAAATTAGATGAATGAACCAAGATTTAACAATCAAATAATTAATTATTTTTTTCGTTATTTATTAATGCAGAAATATAATACATCCTACTCGCCACTTCTTATAATATTGAGAAGATGTACGTATCCAGCCTTGTATTGAAATTGGGGTGGATGTGAAAAATAACAAACACGATTTATTATTGCGAAGCAATGACCCCTTGGATCTATCTACACTAGGGATTTTTTGTGCCCCATAAAATATATACAGATAAAATAAAAGTCAAGAAAAAAATAGCTATTAATCATCACGAAATAGCAATAAATAAAAGTCTAAAGTACTAGCCCTTAAGGAATACTTTAGGTGGTTTTATTTTAAAGATATATATATGAATAAGTTATATAATAAATAGATATATTGATCGAATAAATAGATATGTATATTGCTTATTTCGGAGAAATGACACTTCGTGCCTGCAGACACGGTCTATATATTATTATTAACTTGTCGCATTTCTTCTCGAACTGCCCATAATAATTGGTAATGTAATGTTAATTCTGAAGCGCAGAGACCATCAGGTCTGTAGAAATACTCTAACCATTTTTGTTGTATTACATTTACAGCTCTGATTTTTCTACCGATTTCTCTTGCATGTTTAACTCTTCTAATAGCATTCTGCATCCACAATTCATATCGACGAATTGCTTCTTTTTCGAAGTAGGAGTTACTAGTTTCAGATCTACTTTTAAGTTCTATATAGTCTTTATAACTAATATCACAATAAGCATTTCCTGTGCAATTTGTGCTCCAATGTTTATCCATGAAATGACGAAACCCACACTCATAACCACTTCCTATTCTAGAATAAACTAGCTTGTTACACGAATAACATATTGCTATGCTTATGCCTACAGAATGACCAAGATCATCTTACCATAAATATTCCATCTTTCTGGCGATAAGATATCGCTTTTTATCATAAGTCAAACGATTATTATTCTTATAATTCGTCAACTGATCCCAAATTCGTTTCATCCAATCAGATGGAGTTTCACCCTTACGAATCACTGGAAGTTGACAATTATCTTTCCATTCAGTGTCGCTCAAAATTGGGCAGATATCCGTATAGACCATATTTAACGATTAAATAAATTATAGTGTTTTTAGAGATTATGTGATTTATATCGAATTTAAGGGTTTTGACCTATTAGATTTGGTTCTTTATAGTATAAGAATATATGATTCAATTTTTGTGCGGATTGAGTTATTAGATGAGTTATGTATAATCGTCATATTTTGCGAGTGAAATATGATGAGAATGGGAATTGCCGATCACGAGCTAAATTTCTATTCCCAATTCATTGGCTGATAGTTAGTTCATTAACCGTAATATCTTGCCCAACATGAATGTTGTTTTGCGTTCGAATTTATAATGAAGCTATGATTTAATTACTTAGAACGAAATCTAAAGAACCAATGCCGTGATCACATAGAATAAACCAGTTATAATCGTGTTAAGAAAAGAAAATAAGTTAATTCATCTTTGTTTACTAATGAGCTCTGCCCAGAGTCGAAAGGCTCATAAATAAGAGGTATCTATTGTTGTTGTATAAAAACGATCAAGCTTATTTTTTTGACATCGAATGAGGGCCTGTGCGTCGTATGAGATGTGCCAAAGTTTTCGATTTCACCTATCAAAATAAATCCATAATAATTATGATCGACGCAGGTAATGGATCGCCCATAGTAGATAAATTTTTAATGAGCTGACCGTGTAATTCGAAAAAACCAATGATTATTGATAACTTTAATGGTGTGTACCTATAGCAAATCGACAATCAACGCCAGAGAGATTCTGAAATACGTATAAAAACAGCTTGAACTTGAATTCGCATAATTTTTCTACTTCATAACTATAACATTCGAATAAAAAATTTGTTAAATCAATCAAACCACGTAAATAAAACGTAGTAAATCAATTAAAAAAACCGTGTTAGCAGAGCTAGTTTCACTAAAAAATAAAATATTATTCTTACATTTATCGAATCAAAGGTTTGTTAAGACTCTTGTATCAGATTAGAGATGTAGTATTCTTGTAACGTCATTGAACTAACTGATTTTTCCATAGATGACACCAATCGAATTTTTCGAAGCTCTCTCGAAAATGCCATTAGAGAGATATTTTATTTTAATCCCTATCTTGATCCTCATCATAGCATTGATATTTGGAGAAACATTCTTCATATACCTATTCATTGTCATCATATGCTTCGTTTTCTATATATTCAAACAACAAATCGATATGGAATTCAAATTATTAAAAGAGAAACGAAAAAACGAATCTAATGAAATCTATAATAAAATAGATGATCTTACCGAAAAAATTTCTTTGTTTTATGAAGAGTTCCAGCAAAGATTCCAGGAAGAAGATACTTTAACTAATAATAATTCAAGTAACCGTTTAAGTAATAATTCAAACAATTTTTCAAGTAGTTCTCGAGGTAGGATCTTTAGTTATACTAAAGGCCTTGCTATTTAATGTATAAATAAATATCTGTTACTTTGAGAGACTTATAGTGTATTAATATTTTTGTACCGTATTAGGTTCAAGACGTACTTCGTTTTCAGATCCACTCTTTCAGGAATTTAAAACACTTTTCGACGAGACCATGCGAGAAAATGATTATTCTAAAGCCGATATGATTGCCGAAGTTGTAAGTGATCTTAGAAAGGAGAAGAAAATAAAGGTTATATTGAACAAAGCGGTGGAAAGTTATTATAATCAAACAACGAAAGCCGACGCCAGGACTATAGGAGCAATCAAAGCTTGGATCGAGCTCAAGACTAAAGGAAAAAATAAATCCAAAAATAAATCAGCATCTAGCAATAATAATAATATCGATGAAGTTAGTGATGAGGAAGAAAAAGACTATAATAATAGTAATAATAAATAGTTTTTTTTCACCTGGTAGAGCCAAAGTATAGGGACGTATATTCATGGTCTAGGGGCCGTACGTTCTCTCCCTTGCAACTCTACCGTAAAAATCAATATTATTTATTATTATCCATATCCATGTATCTTTATTTCGCTTGATTAAATCATTAAAATGAATCATTCGAATTCTTATTTTTTAAACATAATAATAATTGTTTGTGTACGACCCATAAATTTTGAAATACTTGTATATGTAGTGCGACTATATAAATTATGCATGTTTATTTGTGCGATTAACCAAATTCGATTAATACCTCATGTACATTCATTTTCCTTTGGAAATCCTTGGCGTAAATACACATTCTTTTTTTTATCTCTTTGCATTATTCATTCGATAAATCTAGAGGAAGACGTGGAAGGAATACGTTTAAAAAGGGCAGTATATCGAGTTATGAATATTTATTGCTTTTATAGTGATTTACCGAATTCTTTATATTAAAAAAAATCTTATCTCTCTAAAACTATTATCAACATGTCAAAGTTTAGCAAGTAAAGCTCGAAGGAATCTAGTAATCAATGAAAATCGGAAGGGAAAGAAGCCTGACGTTATGGGACTATCGACTCAAGATGAAAAAATTATAGAGTTAGTATATACTGAATCATCGCGTATTTTATGCAGTGGTTCAAAGAAAGCGGATGACGATGTAAAATTATGGAGAGAAACATTGGACGGTGCGAGTTTTATTAGTGCATTGTGTAGACCGGTCGGTAACCAATTCGGAATTGTAGGAATTCAGATCGCTGGCTCTGTTATATATTTAAATATTCTTGTGAAAGATCTGGCTGGTATACCTCGATATTTCCATGTTGACCATGCCGAAATTCCATTAACTACACACAAATTGCACACTAAATCCCTCATTCGTTTATTATTGATCTTAAGAAATATTATGATAGTGAATAAAAGCTTACTAATACAGGCATTAGAACAAGCTAGTGTTCATCCACCTCGAAACGTTCAGCCAAGTCCCACCGTTACATCACCACCACATAAATAAATATTAAGGTAATATGGAAAAACATTATATATTTTTATCCTTTAGTTTATTTTTTACTATATCAATAAAACCGACCAGGTAGTCGAGATTTTCATATTCATTCGAAAAAATAAGCTGGTTAATTATAATTATTACACATATCCGATAATTTTCCTCTACATGCTGAGAATATTCGAATCAAAATTATTTACCTCTAAATATCTGCATAGTTCTACATAATCAAATATCGCTTTCGTATCTTGCGTATTCTTATTTATGATAGTTATAAAATCTTCGTCTTTTCTTTGCATGTACTTATCCCGGTTTAAAAATTGCATATACTGCGTAGGATTCGTGGTAAATTTACCTTGAGTTTTTCGTCTGTTATTTTTAGATTTGCGAGACATATTAATATCTTATGTATAATAATGACGTATTATATCAAAGTATTGAGACACATTCAATTTTTTTTTTCTAGCAAAGTGATCTCCGTTCCAAATTGGAACGCACGTGATTTTTTTAACTATTTTAAATGCATGGAATGCACGGATAAATTGCGTTGTGGGATCAGGCCAACTTGGTTCGACATATGATTCGAATATTTTAGCAGTTCTTGTAGCTTAGATGCAAAAACATTCTCATTACATCGTGTGACTGATGAATTATAAAACTATAGCACCCAAAAAAAGGCACAAAATATTTTATTATATATATATAAAAAACATATATATTATGTGTCTTTGACACTAGCTCCGCTATTCTATCTTGATGCTACCACCACCTGCATCTTCTTGGAAGGTTCCTGGTTCGGCACTAATGAATTCTATTTTTAATTTTAACCCTCCTGCTGTATGATTCTCTGGTCGTCCCGGATTATTAATGATATTATCAAGAGGTATTTCTTTGTTATTGACCATTAAATACGCATCTTCTTCGATTTTTTGAACTGACCTGATTATACAGAGTGGTGAAAATGAGGTATATATATGAAAAACAAAATTGCTTCCATGCAACTTACAATATAGTAGGTTTTTCTTGACTTAGTTTTCCTTCGCTAAATCTTTTATCGCCCCCATTATGAACAGTGAGATAAATGTTATCAAGTCCCACTATATAAAAAAGTATTATTGTTTTATCGGATTATGTCTGTGTATTCCATGCATTAACAAAATTAATAAAAGAATTTATTTACCAAATGAAACTTCAATATATCCGTTCATTGTAGAATTTTTTTCGTTAAAAAATATAAGTGAAAAACTCACCTCATAAATACGGTCTATTTATAGCGGAGCTAGTGCCAAGGCACATAGTTTCATTTGTTACCTGAGAACCTGTTAGAAGAAAAACATTAGTAATTACGTTACCTGATCATTTCTCGGATCTTTCTTCGTAAGGCAGGTCTATTAAGTCGTGGGTGTCAAGAACTAAATATATTTCGCCTTTTATGGGGAAATTAAACCTTCCAGTCTGACGATCGCTTTTGTAGAATAAAAAATAAGACAAATTTTGGCGATCTCGGATCTCAAGTTCCGTAACATATGAATTTTGATATTATTACTGATAAAGAACAATAAACTCTCCTCATTCATATCCTATTTGAGTCTCATTTGTATTTTTTCTTATTGGAAAAGCTATCTACAGTAAGGAAAAGGCCTTATTAATTCCATAGTGAGAAATAATCTTGTGGAACATTCGACTATATCTCGATTTTTTACCATTTATTAATATTATTATCGCTCAAACCCCATAATCGCTTGCAAAATACGATAAAATGATTCAAATAGAATTTGCACAAAAAATGAATCCAGTTTTAACTAACAATATAAAACCAAATCTAATAGGTCTAGATCCTTAAATTCGATATAATCACATAATCTCAAAAAACACTATAAATAGTTTGTATAAAATGACTAGCTTAAGTGAAAGACGTGGAACCAATTGTACCAATGCTGAATGGGATGGAATTCTGGAGATGGGTATTGTTTTATCGAATGAGACTCCTACCGAATGGATGAACCGAATTTGGCCTTTCTTACAATATTTCAGAGAGAATGATCTTCTACCTACCAATAGTAAAAAATATCTTGAAGCCAGAAAATCAATAACATATTGGTCTGAGGTTAATGGATTTTATAAAAGCTATGCACCTGAAATTGGTATTGCTATCTGTTTCTCTTGTAATCAATTAGTATATACCGGTAAACGAACTAAAAATATTGGAAATTATAACCACATAGGAATGGAAAGGCATTGGGCTTCTCATTGTACAGGAAATTCTTATTGTGGAGTAAGTTATGATGTGTACTTACTAAAAATCAAGCAAAAATCAATTTCAGGATATATTTATGATAATGAACATGCATTGCATCAATATGGATTGTGGATGCAGAATGCTATTAGAAGAGTTAAACATGCAAGAGAAATTGGTAGAAAAATCAGAGCTGTAAAGGTAATACAACAAAAATGGTTAGAGTATTTCTACAGACCTGATGGTCTCTGCGATTCAGAATTAGCATTACATTACCAATTATTATGGGCGGTTCGAGAAGAAATGCAACAAGTTAACAATGTATAATACACATATCTATTTATCTGATTAATATATCTATTAATTATATAACTTATTCATATATATCTATTTAAAATAAAAACACCTAAAGTATTCCTTTAGACTTTATTTCGATACCCCTTGGGGCTGCATCTAGAAAATATAAAAAATTTTACATGTGTCAATTGTAAGTTTAATAATAAAAAAGTGTAAAACTTACGTCGGCACTGTAAGATTTACA